TGGGCTTCTCATCTGAGGCTTCCTGCAGCACAGCACAATGGACTCTTCCCCTGATTGTTACAGCCAGGCACTCTCTATATCACAGCCACTATTTTGGCGGGATGTTCTGGACATTTTTCTATCCTTATCACAGGCAGACATCTTCCCCCTCGCCCCGGACACACGTCTTCCTCAAACATAAAACAATCAAATTCAAAAAGGTCAGTCACGTGTCGGCTTTCCATTACTGACCCCATCACACAGCACTCAATTACATTTAGGCTTATGCTTTGTTATTTTTCCCAAATGAACGGCACAGATGTTTAACCAAGTAAACTGCATTTCCATCATTTGCATATTTTTCCTATTTTCTTAGGAATATTTATAGCATACGCAGTTTGATATAAGTTTGTCTGTGTAGTTTCAATGTGAAACTTGCCAGAAAAGTACAAAGCAAATGCAGAAAAAACATTTATCACGATCATCCACTTAGCTAGTAATTGCAAAAGCAGATGTTGCTGCTGGGGTTTCAGGTACTGTAAAACATCTGTAGCCAAAAACATCTCTTCCATGGTCGCAGTGCGGATTCCCACAACTCAGGAAAACCTCAGCCAGCATCATCCCCTCTTTAAACCACGCTCAAAGACATTTTGAAATATATTCTCAAACACACAAGAATAAGAGCCTCTCAAAGGGTCCTATATGAAACATCCTGTTAACATTACGGCCTCAAGAGCCTTCCTTCCTCCGTCAATGGACACTGATAAACAGTTTTTGTGTGCTTCATGTTCATGAAGCGGAGTGCACATGAATAGAAGTTGTTTTACTTGAAATGTTAGTCTTGCCTCGTCATGTAAAATAAAAAGCAGGAAATCCAGAAAAGACAATCTTCTGATATAGCGAATAAACTGTGGCCAAGGCCCTTTAATGTGACACCTTAGAGATATGAGCGACACACTTAAAAGGTGGGTTAATAAGCTTGTCATTTATGAAAGAACACATTGAATTTCAGTGATTTTGGAAAATTCCGGTTTGCCAAATTTCAGGAGATGATAAATGTTTTTGTCATATATGTGACCAAATACATTTGTGTTGGTCTAATACAAGACATTTGAAGCAATGGGACACTTTAATGGAATTTAATAGAAATTGGTTTATGAATTAAATGTTCTGCAAATTGATTAACTATAAAAAACATGCTTAGTATGCACAACAATTGTCAGTTTCAGGAACAACAATTGGTGAACACTGAGGAATTTCAGGTGGCAGTACACTCAGTAAAAACTGTGTGTCAGATGATTAAACTTTATTGGAAAAGCCATAATACTTGAACTTTTCCAACATTGAAAATGGGTAGGATGCTTTTCGTAACTTTCCGAAAAACTGACCTTTTAGACATTCACACCCACTTCACACTGTGATGGCCAGCAGTGCTGAGATGGGAAAGCAATCAGGGTTGCTCAATCCCTTTTCTTTGATTCACTCTTTTATGTTTACAACACTCTAAATGCCTTCCAGGAAAGAAAATATGTTCTGATGAATAGTGCTATCCCCACATTTAAGTGGTAAATGCGTAAGCCCTCTCTTCATAAAGGTTGCCTTTGCACCCCGCCTTAACGTTCGGAAAACAGACGCAAACACATTTTCCCACCAATGTGCTTTAACAACATGCAATTTCTAGTTTCTAGTCCTAATCACAGAGGTGAATCTCACTATGGCAGAGTGAGAAGGAGGGTGACACTAATTAAATCTCACATGAGAAATATACTTTCAATAGGAAGTGTAATTCTAAATCTAAAACATGAGGTGGAGACGGATGGTGGGAAACATTTATCCTACAGAGAGGCTGGGGTCTGGTTCAAAGTACTGAAACTGTCCCGTGGGTCAGATTTAGATTTGATATTACACAGAAACACATTTCCTGGGAAGCGGCTTCAGAAATTCTGTGTCAGATGGGAAACTTCAGAGAGTGAGTTTTGGTAACTGCTTTCGTCTCCCTTTTGACATTAAAATCACTACCTCATTTCTCAGAGCTCATAACAGCTGAAACAAGAACCTTATTACCCTTTCAACAGCTTCTTTAATGAGTACAGATGTAGGTGTTTCACCAAAAATGTATATGCTGGTTGTACTGTAGCCACACTCAGACTAACATAGACTCAGACAACTGAATCTATTTTGTTGTAACTTAAGTAATTGTGTGATCAATAAGAGCTGTTTCTTCATTTGACAGTTAACAGCCTGCACAGAGCACATGGATGTTGCCAAACTAAAATTAGACTTCTGTCTTCCAGTATCACCGCCTTGGAGCAAAGCTGCACAATACACAGGGGAGCTGAGTCGGGTCACACGCTTTTAATTAAGGTTTGACCAAATCTGATAAAAGCAAGAGACAATGGGCCTTTTCATTACACCCGAGGAAAAAAAAAAGGTTTATCCGAGAGCCTAAAATATGATTTCAAATGTCTGACCAGACCAATGGCCATCTGATGTTGTTACAAGTTGCAACAAACAACAAAAGCAAAAAACACAATTGCATGCTGCATGCTCACAAACACATAAAGAGTGGACACATGTGCAATCTTATTTCCTTTCATCAAGCCAACATTTTTTAGGTTGATGTAAGGAAAAATAAAGTATGTCATGCAAAGTCAGTAGGTTAGGAGAGAGAAAGAGATTAATTAATTATTGAAGGACCATTTTTATTGGTATTCTCTTCTGTATTCTCTCTTTAAAGGGGACCTATCATGCAAAATGCACCTTTGTACGTCTTTTATACATGAATATGTGTCCCCGATGTGTCAGGGAACTCACCAAGTGTCAGAAAACACAACCCTCTCTCTTTTCCTCCATACCCAAATCTCTAAAAACGGGGCTTTAACGGATCTGATACAGATTTGAAAATAGTGTGACGTCAGTGACGGGGAGCTCCGCCTATATGGCCAAGTCTGCACCAATCAGGGGAATGAGAGGTTGCCGTGGCATGATAACAGCATGGTAACATGACGCTCGTAACTCGGCCCCCTCCTTTGCAGGGGGGCGTGGTCAGCTGCAGCACAATTTTCCTCTCCTCCACCCTGTCTTTGCATGTGCTGCAGCTGACCACGCCCCCCTGCAAAGGAGGGGGCCGAGTTACGAGCGTCATGTTACCATGCTGTTATCATGCCACGGCAACCTCTCATTCCCCTNCTGCCACATTCATAGGAAGAACAAAAACTAGGCTACTTAAATACAATGATATTAAAAACTGCTGCAAAATGCAACACATGTAGCAGTAGGCAATATATGGAAAACTGCTGATAAAAAGTATAAGACCATACCCTTAAAAATGGCAAAAAGGCTTNTCGTAACTCGGCCCCCTCCTTTGCAGGGGGGCGTGGTCAGCTGCAGCACATGCAAAGACAGGGTGGAGGAGAGGAAAATAGAGCGAAATGAGGCATGACTAAAATGCATGATCTGTTTGGTATTTTGAAAAAGAAAATGTATAAATATACCTTATATAGGTATGGCCCTACAATATATTATTCAAATATAGCATGATAGGTCTCCTTTAACTTGAATTCAAACTGAGTTTTTATGCATATAGGGAAACATAATAAGTCAATTTACATGAACAGGACGGTTTAGTCCAAAGGATTTATTTATAATTTTATTTGTGCTTTTTGGATTACATTTTTGCACCTGTCAGAGTTGGTTTGTTAGGGACAGCACTTGTCATCAATCCAGTGTTAACATACCTTTAGACAGATTACACGTCAGTTGAAAGAGGTAAAGTATCAAGATCTAGGACATTAGCACATTGGGCTGCTGAAGGGACCTGACCTTTGACCTCTCACCAACCATTTTCAGCAGGACCTCATGATGGTGAATCTTTCCTTGAGTTTGTAATCAAGGAAATATATTATGTAGCGCAATTGTATAATGGTTGTGCAAGTTTCATTTTCTTTGTTACAAAATGTCCTCTTATTGTTTCCATGGACAAAAAGACTGAATCCCACACTGATAAGATTGCAGGTTTGGAATACACTCATTGGATTTGTCTAACTAAGACTGCTAAAATGTTTATTAGCTTCATCTGAATTTAAGACAGCTCTTGGATTAAGGACTGTGCATTTTGAACCCATTTCCTAAAGTAAATTGATGGGTCACCTTATGGTCAGTGTGAACAGGGGGAATGATTAAAGAACCAATATCACATGTCCACGTGAGAATTGATTTAAGAAAGATTTGAACAACGAAAACCTCCAAATCATGAGTATGGTTCTTCATAATGCATACTGTATGGATTCATAGCTTAGGCTGTTGGTTTTGATTAATTCATGCACAATATGATCAGCAATCTCTTAAAATGTGCTCAAGACAGAAACTACGTATATCAATCCATTACATAAATGCCAAAATGAACTTAAGGGCCACCATGCAGACATAAGTGAAGACTGTATTGTCTTTTTATAATGTAAGTCTTGTTCTTTAAACACTGACCGAAAGACTGACACATACAAACATAAAATAATGTGGAGCATGCCTTTCTCATTAAGAAGTTATTTTGTATCATATTAGCCCATTAAGGCACATTTGTAGTCATAAAGATCAGCATTTTGTTGTCATGCCTTCAGAGGTCATGACCCCACCTTTCAATCACTGCCAGGTTAAAGGTCAAGCAAATCAAAGCTAAATTCTAGCCTTATTATGATAGCTCATTTCTGTTTATCCAGTTTGCAAAACAAATAGAATGTCGTTATTTAAACCACTGGCATTTCAACATGAGCCATTTCACAACATTTAAACATGCTGTTTTTTACCGACATGCAAAGCCAAGGACCCTCCTACAGGAGAACCTCCCAAAACAGACACTCCCACGGTCTGCATGGGCATCTGCCAAGCAGCTCCCAGATTCAAACCCAGCCCGGAGACACGTTCAGGTTTACGTTTTATAACTTCATTATCAATCAGTTTGCAAGTGAAAGTTTACAAGCAAAACAACAAAACAAAATTAAAAACACGAGGGGGATAAAACTTACCGCGTGCACTCCAGAGGCGAGGGTGGCAATGAAAAGACACAGAAGCAGCAGCCTGTAGTCAAACAAATGACAGTGTTAATAATGCTGCTAATTTATGAATATATGGAGATGATTTGCAGTAAAATGCCCCGCTCACCTCAGGTTCTTCAGTCCTCTCTCGTGTTGTCCTTGCATGGTCCCACTCATGCGCACCGCAAACTTCAGGTCCACTCCGATGTCTCAGTATAGATACACTTCTACAGCATGTCTGCCCGACCTGAGGCACACCAACAACATAAACGTCAAATATCACTAATGCTTGATGAGAGTCAATATATTTGACCCGCCTGGTTAGCGTCTAAAGTGATTTACAACTTTATCATTGTAACTATTTCTCCTGAGAAATTGACCTCATAAGGTGCTCCGTATTAAACCCCTCTCCTGCGACAGTTGCAATGATACATCGGGTTTTCTCTTGTAAATGTAATTCATTCAATATCCGTTTGATAAAGTAATTTACTTACAGTTACCCCTGGCTTGGGTGCGGTGGATAGGTAGAGGAAATTGATATCACGGGGTAGAAGATGCGCGGGATCCCGAGCAAAACAGTTTAAAAACAGGTAGCAGTTGCACCAAAACCTGCTGAAATATTGTCACAAAAACACACCAAAGTGTGCCGAGTAGTCCCTCTTCTTACGGAGAAAAGTCAAAGTGTTTGTTAGAGCAGGGTTTGAGCTCGTTTGCATGGGCGAGGGTGGTCGTTTTGGGAGGGGGGTGTGGTGCAGAAGAAACAAGACCAAGTTGCATTGATCAGAACCTCATAACGTCTCGGACAAAGATGCAGCCAAACGTGCTGTCCGTGCTCTGCCGATAAGTTTAACAGTTACCTGAAGAAAGAGGACAAGAAGCGGCACACAGGTAGTTGTTAGCGGACACTCTGCACTGTTGCGCACACGGTAACCAGCGCGCACCGCACAATGCTGTTATCGTCCGGCACCCTGTTACTGCTGCTGGCGGCTCTCTACTCCACTGTGGACCTGACGGGGGCTGAGGTAAGTGGACGAAGCATTTAAAACACAGGGAGCTAAATAGTATACTTTTATCACCTACACTTTCTACCTGTTTAAGTTAAGGTGCGCAACTTTTAGACAGGAGGATCTTAATTGTTCATAGTGTGCATAAATAGTAGGCTATAGGCTACTTTATGTCCTATGTATAGGCTAGTCTGTCTCCCGGCAACCGGCTGTGTTTGTGTAAAATTCAGTGTGTTTAAACATCATTAACTGTGATCATCTGTGATAGAGTTTTAGTCGTTGAAATAGACACATTTCAGTGTTTTATGGTTACTCTCTTTATTCCAGATTGTGTAGAATATATATTTGTTGTACTATAAAGTTGTTAATTATTCTTTTTCAACCACTGAATCTACTCCAGTCAAAGTATTCCAGTGCAGCCTCTTCTTTTTCTCTCCACTACTGGAGGAGAAGAGAGACAGAGAAAGAGAGGGAGGGTGGGGCAGACTGCCTACAGTAGCTGAAGTGTGTGTGTGTTGGTGTGTGTCTATGTGTGTGTGTCTGTGTGTGTTACAGGGAGGTATGACGAGGTAACGAGGGAGACACAGATGTGTATGAAGTTAATCATTGGTATGTTTAGATAATCAAATAACCTTCATGAATGGGTCTCCTTAGAATAAAGTCTATTTGAGCTGTTATGTTGGTCTGGTCTTTTTCCCGTAGCCAGAGGAGATTTAACTATTTCTCAAGTTTGGCAAAGAAAATGTAGAGAATCTGATAAACTTTTCCATTAACATTTTGAACATTGTCTACTTATATCTGCAAGTCTGAGGCAAGTGGAACTATACCAGCTATGCTTTACATTCATTAAGAATGAACCATTTACATAAAAGCAGAAAGCAGATTTATTTTTATCGGAGTAAATGTTTGGCCAATGTTAATTCCACAGCTTGAGTTTGTATCCAACATTTAAAACCGAAGACAGGTACACTTTTAAATAGTTTTCCAGATACAGTTTCCCTATTCATAAACTCATTGAATTTAATGGAAAACAGGAGAACAACTGGGGCTCCAAACCTCCCCTGAGAACAGAAAGAGTTGAGAGGTTTACTGCTCTGTGTGTTGATCCTCATTTGGGCCGTTTGTTGAAATGAACATAACTACAGTGGTCGCCTTCTGCTGAAAGGCTTGTCAGATGTGGGGCTTTATTTCCAAGCGTGGGTGGGGTTTGCAGCGGAAACATCTCTCACACAGTAGTATCAGAAATCCAGGTGAGGGGGAGTAAATCTTGGACTGCGTCACATTCAAAGTTAAGGCTGTTGATCGGTTTGTATTATTTCACATTGCGGGGATGTGTAATGTTTCAGAGAAGATTGACACCCCTCAGAGGAGCCTGGATCATCACTGGAGTTTCACCATTATTGCAACTCTGAGATGTCCTTATAAAGTGCCAACAATTTTGTTCATGAATGACTTGTGATCAACATGTTGACAAAAGAGCTTTTGCTTGTCTCCTTTGCTGGCATCAAGCTGAGCAGAGTGTCTTTAACATTCATTTGCACAGATGTTTGATCGACAAAACAATATTGTTTTTTTGGCTATGGAATGAATTGTTCAATGTAGATTAAGGTTAAAGAGCTGCGTAGGTTATGATTGCGGAGGTTGAGAACCAACGTATGAGGTTAAACAAATCCGCAGAGGAAACCTTTATCCACAGCCTGCCTCATTTAGAAGCACAAACACGACACAGACATAGGACATCTGGACAGATGAGCAGATTGGTGAAGAGGTGTATATCTGGGCTGAACATCTTGTTACTGATTAAATGACGCCACTCAAATCTGGGATTTATTGTTGGCGGTAGTATATTTTCCTATCCACCCACGGGAGGTCCATAACAGGAAGTTTGTGTTCCTGTCATCCATCCAAAGCTGCACGGTGAACAGAAAGGGGCTTTCCTCATCACTTATACAATGACACACATACTTGGCTCAAATACAGTCTTATACATTTCTCTTCTCATTGTCTTATTGCTTTTGTATCCTGCACCTTTGTTAATGTGGATGTCAATGTTTAGCCCATGTCTACAGGTCCATTCAGAGTGTTTGTCTCTTCTTTGTGTCCACATACACAGTTGCATGTCGTTGACTGAGTATCAGAGCATCCTGTTTGGGCTTCTTTACAATCAGTGGGGCTGAACGGAGGCCAGGAGTGAATATACAGTATAAACATTTCACGGTCAACCACTGCAATCACCATCAAATGTCATAACTCAGAGACTCGGATGGGTCAGGCTGACTCAAATAGAAAGGTCATAATGAAAAGATAATGTCAGATTGCCTTTACCCACTACACTCTGTTTGAGAGTTAACCAACAAGCTAATATTTAGACCAATGTGACCTTTGCTCCCAATAATTTCACAGCATCATCTGTTCTTAAGTACATTTCCCTTCTGTTTATATAATATTAACAGAAAAGAGCTTCTCTCCCTTGGTGGTCATTTAATCTGGTCAGAATGAGTCATTAGTAATTCCTAAAGGAGGAGGAGGAGGAGTATAGGAAGAAGGGTAGATAAGCAGATTCTTGCAGTGAGAGTTTGTGTGTGGGATGATGGATGGAGGGATTGTGGAAAGGCGGTATAGCTGGTGGGAATGACGAGCTTCTCCGTGCTGCCAGGTTCTGACTCCTGAAAAAAAGATGTTCCAGGGCAGTGTGAACCCCAGGGAACACAACTTATATACGGAGGAAGCGTTACTGAGTCCTGTTAATGCCTGTACAGCCTGATAAATATGTTAATATTCTCATTTAAAAACTAATAATCGTAAGACTTGGTCATGCTGCCCAACATGCTGACAAAGCTGCCTGTGGTCTGGTTTGAGTGTGATCTTATCCACCCATCTCCCGCCCATCACCCCCCACAGAGACAACAGCTGACCCTGTTCCTGTGATTGGCCACCAACCAAGCAAAAGCACCTTGGTTAGGCAAAAACAGGATGACCCTTGTCCCTCAGAGTTATAAAAATGCCTACGTTTGGAAGAGTTGTGTGTTTGTGTCCCTGTATTTTCACAGGCTCTGTCTCTGGGTGGCAAAGATAATTCTTCCCTGACCCTGATACTCAAGTAGCGAGGCAGGCATGCCCCACTCTGCCTGTGTATGTTTCTATGTGTGTGTATTTGGTCTGTACCAAGTGAGGAAAGGATGAACCCTTATGTTATATACGGGTCTCCCGTGACCCATTTCAAGTTAAAATTATATAATAACTACGCTCTAGGTCTTTTTTATCGGAGCAAGGCTACATGATATCCTCCTCAACAGCTATATAAACACTACAAAACTGATTTTGACAATTTTAGCCAAGTCTGAAGGTCTCTAAAAAAAAAGTGTATAATTTGGTGTTTGACCCAGCAGCATTGTTGTGGGTGACTCGAGGTCAAATTTGGCCCAATCAAGATTAATCTTTGACTTTAGACACCCCACCCCCTTCATCCACTGTAACAATATTATGTTTGCAACATGCACCTGGTCTCCCATCCCTCTGACCCCCTCCCCCGACGGGAAATCAACCTTTCACAAAGAATATGTACACTAACACTTGAACCTGAACACACACATGCAAGTGTGCAATATGTGGTGTAATGTGTTTTGGGGCCTTAAAATAAAATTACAACAGTATTGTAAGGTTATGAATGCATTATAAGTTAGTTATGATGTAGTTAAAACAATATTGGATGATAGTCATTATTCTTGAGTGTTTTGGACTGAGATAAATCATGGGTCGAAATTGACCCGCGAACACCATGAACGGTAACGGCTTTCGAACACAACACAAGGGTTAAGTGGTAGATTTTAGTTTTTATGAATAAACCAGTTATTTTGTCCCACGCTAATATTTCACCTCTTTGCCTACCTTGGGATCAGCTTGTGTTTGTCCTGGAGATCTGATACTTCCCTGAGGTGTATTGTTATGGTGAAACTGCAATTTAGCCATTGAGCTGTGAAATTGGTGAGTCATAAATGTCATTTGTGGTTTGGACGGAGATGGCGTAATGGATACGTCGGTCTGACAGGGAGGTGGGAGGTTGAGAGTGATGGTGGGATGAAGGGGGAGATATTATGAGTCCCAGAAATGGAAGAATGTGGGTCGGGGTCCGAGATGATACCCCTTAGCAAATCTTTTAGTCTCGCTCTCTTAACCTTGACCTGCCCTTCCACTCGCCATTGCCAAATTGTCCAACTGATGTAAGATAATAAAGACAGTGATGATAGCATCATTAGATTTATGACTTCAGTGCTTTTTTGTAGTTTTCCACATGAAGTGAATAGTTAGAATTTGGCTGTCTTTTCTCCCAGCTGTCCTATTTGTCAGTTTTTGGCCTGAAAGTCTTCCATTATATTGTCTCGCTTCAAAAACTAAGGACAGGTGCAAGATTAAAGAATAGTTTGTAAATGATTCCATAAACTACACAATGCTCAAGTGTTTTATACTGTAAGTACATCGCCTTATAGACAACATGGGCTTCATTACAGTCTTTGCTTACCCTATGTATGTTGGTACCTTACAGGACAGTGCATTCTTTGGTATGGGTGTGTTTGTAAATACAGTAGTAGATTTCTTGGCTTTTCAATTTCAATGACCTGAATGAGGGGAAGTTTTGCGCTGCCTTGATGTCCTGTCCTTTGTGAGACTTTGCACGTGTCACGCAGAACAGTTTTAAATACTTTATAATACAAGAAGCTATCATATTTCTTTTACCATATTCTCAATGCATGTTTACAATAATGATTAACTTTGATTCATGCTTGATTATCTGACAACAAGTGATGGTGAAAGTTGCCCACTAGAAAGTCTCAGATGTCAGACTTTTTCATGTGTTTAGTTGTTTCTGGTGAAAACTAAAAACGTACCTAGAAATGTTGCTGCTTTTGTATCATCATTAGCTGCAGTCTGTGTGCAAAAGTACAAAATACCAATGATGGAAACAATCAAAACACACATTGGAGAGGCAACTTTTTTTTGATTAAAGTGCCTCTCTTGTT